ATGGCCAAAGTATTGGAGCCTCAGCTTCAGGATCTGTCCTTCCAGGGAGCACTCAGGGTTGATTTCCTTTAGAATTGATAGGTTTGTTCTCCTTGCAGTCCAGGTGACTCTCAAGAGCTTCCTTCAGCACCACAATTCAAAAGCATCAATTCTTCGGCGGCCAGCTTTCTTTATGGTCCAGCTCTCACTTCCATACATCACTACAGGAAAAACCATAGCTTTGACTATGTGGACTTTTGTTGGCAAGGTGATATCTCTGCTTTTAAGATGCTGTCTAGGTTTGTCATTGTATCTTAATTTTGTGGTTGCTGTCACCATCTGCTGTGATCATGGAGCCCAAGAAGGTAAACTCTGTCACTGCCTCCATATCTTCCCTTTCTGTTTGCCAGGAGGTGATTGCCATGATCTTAGTTTTTTTTTATGTTGAGCTTCAGACCGTTTTTCATGCTCTCCTCTTTCACCCTCATTAAGAGGTTCCTTAATTCCTCCTCACTTTCTGCCATCAGAGTGGTATCATCTGAATATTGGAGGTTGTTGATATTTCTTCCAGCAATTTAAATTCCAGCTTGGGATTCATCCAGTCCAGCCTTTCTCATGATGTATTCTGCGTATAAGTTAAATAAACAGGGAGACAATATACAGCCTTTCCCAATTTTGAACCAATCAGTTGTTCCATGTCCAATTCTAACTGTTGCTTCCTGTCCCACGTATAGGTTTCTCAGGAGGTAGATAAGGTGGTCAGGCACTCCCATTTCTTTAAGAACTTGCCATAGTTTGCTGTGGTCCACACAGTCAAAGGATTTTGTACAGTCAATGAAGCAGAAGTTTTTCTGGAACTCTTCGGCCTTCTTCATAATCCAGTGCATGTTAGCAATTTGGTCTCTAGTTCCTCTGCCCCTTCGAAATCCAGCTTGTACTTCTGGGAGTTCTCGGTCCACATACTGCTGAAGCCTACCTTGGAGGATTTTGAGCAAAACCTTGCTAGTGTGTGAAATGAGTGCAATTGTACGGTAGTTGGAGCATTCTTCGGCACTGCCCTTCTTTGGGATTGGGATGACATTCCTATAGGAACACAAAGCCGAAACAAGCCATCTCAAGGGAGCCAGACAATCTGACTTGGTGGGAAAGAGGCTAGAAGCAGCATGCCCTGCAGTAGTCTTGTGTCTTCCTTGAGAATGGATGAGGCATGTCACTATGGCAGTGGGTGCCATAGCCCAACATTAATTTAGGTGCTGGAAGAGCTCCTTTCTCTCTTTTGTGGGCTTTGGTTGTGACTCTGGAACCCAGTTCTATGTATGTTTACACAGAGGTACATCTTGCTGAGTTCAGTGAGATTGGCCAACTTTGGGCAGGCCTTAGGGAGACTTGAAACGGAGAGCCTTAAATAGTAAAAAATCATCACCAGATTGTTGCTGCTGGAAAAAAAAAAAAGCTTCCAGTTACAAGGTCATTCAGACTTGAGAGTAGTTTATGCTTTTGGCTGCACAGAAAGAGACATATTTCTGATGTATTTTTGTACTGAATGAAAAATATTGTTTAGCCACATCACTGATGCAGCTGCAATCAGCTGATGCATTATTTAGAAGCCATTTGTAGAAGAGTGCCAGAAAACTGCATTGCAACTCAAATCATTTTAAAAAACCCAACAACCTGAAAACCAAAAGATCACAGCAAGAGGGAGAGCAAGAGAGCAACTTGGTGCAAAAGAATGCAATTCAAGAGAACAGCTCTTAGAACAGTAAATCTGAGAAGTATTGCTATACATTAAAAAAACATACACAGTCTAAATCTTAACATGAAGGTATATATACCAAACTTTTACTAGAATTAAGTATAGCAATAGATTAAACTTATATCTCTAACGTTCTCAGCATCAGGTACAAAAAAAGTATGACATATTAATCAAAATCAGCCAGCAAAAAATCCTGTCATATTTAAATATATTTAAACCACAAGGAAATCTAGCTCTGGGATTCTTACATAGTCGACTGCACAAAATATACAGTCCTTCTATTGCTATATTTTCCACTGCTTATTTGGTGGAAAACCAAAGTGTATGTTCTTTTTAATATGCCTGTGGCATAGGCTGGAAATGTTGTGAACAGTCTGGAGAAAAGAAGACTGGGATGGGGTGGGGTAAGGAAAAAGGATAAAGCTCTTCAGATACTTGAAGGGCTGTCACAAAAGCATTGTTCATAAGTTCACTTAAACATGTTTAGGGCAGAGTGGACAGTGGAAATGTGGGCTTCATATTTCATATCCACACACCCAGAAGGATCATGTAGACCTCTGCACACAGAGTGCAAATATCAGGGCTCTGTAACTGTGTTCAACTGTGCATGGTTACAGAGCATTCTTCAGACCTTCTCACTCAGTGCGCGATGTCTATGTAACACTGCAGACTCTGTAGCTACAATGTATGAGGTGTACTTCCAGATGCATAAGGACGTTGAGGGCAGCGCTTTATGTGTGTGGCCATATGCCCATCATAGCCCTCCATGTGAACAGGTGAATGCTTCAGTGGCCTTCAAGAATAAAGCCAGGACCTATTTCCTGCTACCTTAACGGGCAGGGCTAAATCTAATGGGCTTAAATTACAAGAATGTGGTATTTGTTTGGATATTAGGAGAAATGTCTTGAAAATAAGAACTGTTTGGCAATGGATCCAATTCCATGGAGGAATGGAAAGCTCTTCCATGCTGGAGGTGTTCAAGCAGGGGTGGAAATATAACTTGATGGGCCTATCCAGCTTTGGATTTTCAACTCTGAGCAGGGCATGACATGAGAAGAAGAAAGGGGTGCTTTGTCTATGTACCCCTTTACAAAGAAAAGACTGAATGGAACAAGGCAAAACATCCAGCTGACCCCCCTTCCCATATTACTGTAGGCAGCAAGGAGTTGAGATTATTTCAAACGGCTCTAAATTGTATCCACAGTGTTAGTGAATCAAATGCTCAAATGCTTCATTCTAGAATGGATGCTCATCTGAAGCTATTCATTTGTTTGATGACGTGATTCTCTTGGAAGTAAAACAGTTTGTCACAAATTCCAGATGTTTCCAGTACATGTCTCAGGTGGACTTGTGTTAAACAAAACATACTAATTAGTTATAATGATGCAAGCAGGCTTTTATGATCAGCAAGAGTTGAAGCAGGCAGGTGGTGTTGGTGCGAGTGATGAAGAAGAAGCAAGGTCCCATAATTTTATTAGGTATTTTCATATGCTGATCCATGCAGGTAGATCCAGACTAAATGTGTGGATGTGGCCAATTTACATCCTACTGCCCCATCCATGACCTTATCACATTCTGTTGGCAGGAGGGTCTTGATATTATTTCAGACTGCTTGCTACTGTAAGTCTATCAAAAACATGGTTATTTATTCAGGCCTTCCCTCCAGCCAATTCTTGATTCTCTTCTTATTGTCCTATTTTTTTAGTTTATTCTAGTTGTTTTGTATTAGCTATGTATCTGTTTTATTTTATTGTTTAATTTTATATTGGAAGCCGCCTAGAGTGGTCCATCGGTCCCGATAGGCGGGGTATAAATCAAATAATAATAATAATTATATCAGTGAATGAAATGCTACTAGAGAAGATACTAGCAACTGCTAATGAGTGGTTTTAATATGGACAATAACTGTACTAATTGTTCTGCACATAACAAGCCCACAATTCTTTTTTAATTAAGAGTAAACAAAGATTAGTAAATTAGAACTACAAAGCTTGCTGAGAATCATTCTGATTAAATTAATCTCTAGTTGTCTGTAAACTGTATAAAATTACACCGTAGGATATTGAAGCAGAAAACCAAGTTTATTTAGGTTTACTGCAAGATTTCAGATCTGTATTGACGTTTGTTTTCTATAACCTCTTACCTCCATCCACTCTGGAAACACCACTCTGCTACCATGGTACCTAGTACTGGAATAAATTTCACAGAAATTCTCACTTTCTGAAAATC